CAGAAGGTGACTGCGGGAATTCGGGACATCAGTGATGTGAGGGGGGATGAGGGTGACGGTGGGCGACAGGGCGACCGCCAGGCAGATGTGGACTCTTTGTGAGAGAAGAGGTGATGAAGTCTGCTGGTGGAGTGGGTTCGGGTTACGAGGGGACCCACTCGTAGAAAATCGGGGCTTTTGGTTTCAAATGTGTCTTTCTTTTTTCTTTTTTCAAAGAGGAGAGCGTGGTTAGCCTCGTTAAATGCTGCTAAAGATTCGGTAAATTGAGTGCTGAGACTTCCCCACAGGATTTAGCAGCAGAGATCATTTGCAACCTCCGCATTACTGATTTCAGTCAGCGGACCCCGAGCATGACTCCGATGGCTTGGGAGGGGACAGACTCTCTCTTTGAGACGTACTGATTGGTACGACCTCTGACAGGTCCGCACCTCTGTCTTTGCCTTCCACTCCCACTGGGACGCCACCCTGTCCGTTCCCCACTCTGCGGGACGCAATCCTTTCTCGATTTGGACCAAAGTTTATTGACACGCACTCCCTTTCATTTGCACACAGGTTAAAAAGTCAGATACTGTTGAACGGTTTTATTAAAAAATCATCCGTCTCGCCCTGGCTGGTGTAGCTCAGTGGATTGAGTGCGGGCCTGCGAACCACACGATCGCGGTTTGATTCCCAGTCAGGGCACATGCCTGGGTTGCATGCCGGTTCCCTGCAGGCCATTTCCCAGCAGGGGACGCACAAAAGGCAACCATACATTGATGTTTCTCTCCCTCTCTCCTTCCCCCCCTTCCCCTCTAAAGATAAATAAATAAAATCTTAAAAAAAAATCATCCGTCTCACATGATTGCGTACCTTTCAACTGTTCTGACGTTTTTGCTTGGTATTTCACCGCAACATTTTAAAATAACACGGAGGTACTTTTTCTCCAAATCGTTTACACAGTTGCCCAATATAGTTATAATCATAGTCCTCTCCGCCACTCATATTAAGAACAAATATGCCAAGTTCATTCGTAGCTGAGCCGAGCAGTGCACTAGGAGAACATTTCTTCAATCACAGTTTTCCCCCGGAGGAGCGACTGCTTCATTTTTCCTGTCTTCCTGGCTCGGAGGCTCCACTTACCTCTCTAGACTGTGTTCTGTTTTTTCCCCTTTAGCACGCGTTGTGACTTTGTTGAGAGCTGGACGTGAAGAATCAGGTCGAAGTGCGATTCCAGTGTGTTCACCTGGCTAGCTGTTGCGAGCTCGGCACCCTCAGGTCACAGCCTCGTTGGTCTTTCTTGGCTGGTCAGAGGTGCGCCAGGGGAAGAGTGTAGTGTCCGCACTAAAACTGATCCCCAGCAACAGAGTTCTGTCTTCTACTTCTTGTGGTATCATCGGACCTACCTGAGGTCATAGAAGGTGGGCCTGGGACATGGCCTACCCAGGCACACGGGCGGGGGTCAGATGTGGCACTGGGGTGGCCACTTCCCCTTCTCCTGCTCGGGCAGGCATTAGTCATCAGTCACAGCCTCCTTCAGAAGCCGGGATGTGGCCTCACCGTTCTCAACATTGTGCTTCGGCCATTTCTTACCAATTCATCCATCCATCCATCCATCCATTTGTCCCACAAGCGTGTGGAACGCCTGCAGTGTGCAAGCACTACCCTGGCTGTGGGAGACACTTCCGAGGAAAAGCCCGACGCCTCGTCTCGTGGAGCTTACCTTTTTAGTTGGGGATGAAGAAAGTAAACAAATACACGGACAAGGCCCTCTGAGTTCCCCATAAACCCGGAGGGAAGGACAAAACAGGCGCCGGGACAGAGGGCACCTGGGAGTGACCGCGTTCCACACAGAGGCTGAAGAATGCTGCTCCCCGAACGTGGCTTTTGCTCCAAGGCCTGACCGAGGAGATGCAGGCCGGCAGAGCTGCGAAGAACATTCCAGAGAGACCTGAGAGCCAGTGTGGCTTGTTTCCAGGACGAGCAGGAGGCCAGTGGGGCTGGCGGAGAGCAGGGGGCAGGGAGAGGGGAGGGGAGGCAGGGCTCGCCGGCCTTGGCTGTGGGCTGCTGCCCTCCCAGGGCCTAGACCTCCGCTGGGCACACGCCAAACTCGAGTCTAACGGGTCAGGGAGGGCAGAGGCTGGGACGTGATGCAAAGGTGAAACTTTAACATTAAAGACTCTGACCCCTCCCTAGCCTTTCAGTTCACCCTTTCTTCACACAAATAGATTTTTATTTTATTTTATTTCTTCTATCCTATTCTATTTGTTTAATCACACACGTGCCACAAACACTTTTTCCTCCACGTTTGGCTTCCCTGTTCTCTTTGCCTTTGGTCTCCTTGCAAGTATCTCTCTTTGGCTCCAGCGGCGGTGTCACCTGTGGGACTTTTCCAGGCCGCCAGCCAGGAGGTCACTTCTCCTTCCCTGAATCCCCTCACAGCTCTCACTGGTGTTATTTGTTCGTGCTGAACATAATAAACTAAAGCACTTATGTACCGTCCCTGTCTCTGTCCTGGCTTTCCAATCCCAGAGGGATTGTCCTTGAGGGCAGTGGCTGTCCTCTGTGTTTTGAAGTCCTAGGCTCCGCCTGGTGGCACTGCACATGGTTGTCACTCAGTGTTGGGGACGACAACAGGAACTCCTTAGTGAGGCTACATTTCTGTGGCTGGTGAGCTGAGACCTAACGAGGTTGGTGTTGGGGTTGAGCCCTCGTGGGCCAGCGGGCCTCCTCCTGTGACCGTGGCCGGGGAGGGCTCCAGGCCCCAGGGACATGCAGGAGAAGGTCTGGTCAGAAGGGACTGGTGAAGGGAGGTGTCAGCTTAGTGGCTGCGTTTAGATGGTTGAAAATCGTCACCGAGACAAGTCAGTAGGTACATTTAAACATTTCTTTCCTTCAAAACACCAACAACTTCATCTTCATATTCAAAGTACAATAAGTAATAACACTCTTTTTTTTCTTTGTGGTAGAACAAAACCTAGAATGAAAGCCACGTCTTAGATGTTCAAAGGGGGCAATGAAAGGCGAGAACCCAATAAAACAGAACGAACCAGAAGCGGTAGCAGCAGTCACATGTCAGGAACCCAGAACGTCGATAAACATCGCGTTCTGGAAAGAAAGTTTAATTACCAAGTAATCTGTATCATCAGGTAAAATCAGCTATCACCTGGGCCCATTTCTGCAAATGCTAAAATCATTGATGTTCTAACTTAGGGGGATATTTGTGCTTCACCCACCCTGCCTTACCCCAGAGAAACGTGAACTTTAAATCTGAGGCATTTAGCCAATTGGTCCTTCTTTCTAATCACTGTTCTAAAAATCCTTAAATTTTTGGTTACTGTTGGCTCCATAGAAGCAGCACTAGGCCCTGACAAGCAGCCTATACATCGTGAGTGAACACTTCGCCTACGCTATTGTACTTCCCACGAGACCCTCAAGGCATTTCTAACCAGACGTCAGCAGCATGACCGATACTCCAGTCTCCGGCTCTAGGAGGGGCTGGATGCTGCATGCAACTCAGCTGGAGGGCAGTGTGACTCTGCACCTGGGCGGTGTCATTTTTTTAAATTGCTGCTGTGTCATGTTTTTAAAAAATTTTAGATTTGCTGAAACATAAATGCTCCATGTAACAATAGCAGTAAATCTTGTTCTAGTCTGAGGGCTTCATGTTACTAATTAGGAAAATATATGCCAGCTGCAGTTGGGAACATTTAATAAAATGTGGGAATACGTTTCTTACATTTGTGTGTTAAGGGAATTAATAAAAGGACCTTCACGGGGAACATTTAAAACTCGGCTGGTTTTAAGTTTGTGCGAAGCAGCCCAGTGTGGTCCCCAAGAGAGAATGGGTGCACCGCTGTGAGGACCCGGGTCACTCCACACGGGCGCAGGAGAGTGGGGGCGGGGCACAGCGTCCCAGAACCGGAGGTGAAGGATTTGTTAGCAACCTCTTACCTTTGGGCTCTTCACGGCTGAGTCACCTGTGCACCCTGTTCCTCCTGAGCTTCCCAAGCCTCCAAGCTGGCAGGGTTGACGTCGCCATCTCCCCCCACCCCAGGCTTGTACTCGCCCGGGTCACAAAGGGGGGACCCAGGCTCCACACACACACACCCACTCAGATGGACATCCTGTCTCCGTGACGTCTGTCCAGAGGGCTCTGGGGCAGCTGGAAGGACCCCAGGACCCTGCTTTGTTGCAGAGGGAATGGGTGCTTGGTCTAAATCTCGAAACCCTGGTGTTTTGTGTCTTTTTTCTGTCCCGCAAAAAAACACAGATGAATAATCTTCGACATCCATCATTTAAAGCACACCAAGTAATTCTGCAAGATCTAATGAAAGACAACAGTGTTGGTTTGAAATGGTCGGAAGGCAGCAGGAACAGGAAGAGGCCGGGGAGCACCGCCATCGCCCGCGTCTTCCCGGGGCGCCTCTCACTTCCACTCCTTCGCTTGCAGCATCCGGGGTCGCCGCCCAAGTCCCCCGACCTCGCCATCCCAGTCCGACTTCGGCCAATTCCTAAGCCGCTCTAGTCACGTCAACCTAAAGCTGTTCTCAGCCTCCCAGGGGGTAGGAAAGAGCAAGCAGGTGTCGCCGGGCCGGCGGGCCCGCGAGGCCGGCCGAGACCCCGCGCGGGACTCAGGGAAAGTTGGGGCTCAGGCCGCCTTCCCTCCCGGGGCCACGCCGGCTCCGCGGCTCTTCCCGGAGCGGGCGCGGACGGGCAAGAGAAGGCGGCGGGCAGACAACTCGCGTCGCCCGAACATCCTCCGCGGCTCCCGGGCGCAGCGAGGAACAGGTGCCTCTTCTCCGACGTCCGGGAGCGGCGCCTGCCACCCCGTGCGGCCCGTCGCGCCCCCTCCCCGGGCACCCGCTCGCCTCTCGCGCCCTCGTCCCCCCCATGGCAGGGCGGGGCGGGCGCCAGCTCCCAGGTAATTATTGCCAGCCGGGCCCGCGGGGGAAAGCGGGGGTGGGCGCGCCGGCGGGGGGCGGGCGGCTCGGCCGGGCGCGGGCATAAAGGGGCGGCGCGGGGCCCCGGCGCCCCGATCCGCGCAGGATGCCAGCCCGGGCCTCGCCGCGCAGCCCGCGGTCGCGGCGGCTGCTACCGCGGCTGTTGCTGCTGTTGGCGCTGGGCGGCTGCCGCCTGCGCGCGGAGCCCGGGGACGGCGCGCAGGTCTGGAGCCGCTTCGCGCGCCCTCCGGCCCCCGAGGCCGCGGGCCTGCTCCACGACACCTTCCCCGACGGCTTCTTCTGGGCCGTGGGCACCGCCGCCTACCAGACGGAGGGCGGATGGCGGCAGCACGGCAAGGGCGCGTCCGTCTGGGACACGTTCACCCACCACCCGCCCGCGCCCCCGGGTGACCCCCAGGCAGCCGGCCTGCCCACGGGCGCCCCGTCGCCGTCCCCGCCCGCCACCGGGGACGTGGCCAGCGACAGCTACAACAACGTCTTCCGCGACACGGAGGGGCTGCGGGAGCTCGGGGTCACCCACTACCGCTTCTCCATCTCGTGGGCGCGGGTGCTCCCCCACGGCAGCGCGGGCGCCCCAAACCGCGAGGGGCTGCGCTACTACCGACGCCTGCTGGAGCGGCTGCGGGAGCTGGGCGTGCAGCCCGTGGTCACCCTGTACCACTGGGACCTGCCCCAGCGCCTGCAGGACGCTTACGGAGGCTGGGCCAACCGCGCCGTGGCCGACCACTTCAGGGATTATGCGGAGCTCTGCTTCCGCCACTTCGGCGGCCAGGTCAAGTTCTGGATCACCATCGACAACCCCTACGTGGTGGCCTGGCACGGCTACGCCACCGGGCGCCTGGCTCCCGGCGTCCGGGGCAGCGCGCGGCTCGGGTACCTGGTGGCGCACAACCTCCTCCTGGTGAGTTCGAGGGGCCAGGCGGCGGGACACGCTGGGGACAGGGCCTTGGGAGACGCCGCGGGCGAGAGGGGCGCCTGAGCCTCCAGCTCGGACGAGGCTCCATTTGAACACGTTTTTGAGGTCACTTAGGAGTCACGCGGGGTGGGGGGCGGGGGAGCAGGGGCCAAGCAGTGGAAGCTTTTCCTCCGGGTCCTGTGGAGTCGGGGATGGGGGGGTGGAATTCTGCAGTGGGCGCGCTTTGCAGCCTCTGGTCAGGAAGAAATTGGAATCGGTGTCTCTAGTGAGAAGAGGGAGCCCCTTTCTCTGGGTGTAAAGGAATCCCCAGGGTCGGGCGGGAGGGTTTCCTAGCAGAAGCTGGGGGGGGGGGAGGAACGGGGTGGGCGAAAGACGCAGGTGTGTCGGGAAGGTGCGCAGACAGCATCACTCTCTGCGGCAGTTGGTGGGCACCTGCTGCAGTCCAATGTCCATACCCTGTTGCCTGCGGCTCAGTTCTCGCCGCATCTCCGGGAGAGCGGGGTTTAAGAGTCTTTGGGCGTTCCTTCCGTCCATCCTTAGTTAACCGTAGGGGTGTGAAGGCCCCTGGGACAATACGTAACTGCCGAGTGAAGGAGACTGCGCCCTTCTACAAAGCGCACCCCCGCGATGCTCCCCGCAAATGGGAGCATTCTTCCGGAGGAGGCGCTTAACCTGCGCAAATCCAGGGTAACCCCCTGTGCGAGAAGCTTAATACAGCTGGACAGTGGAAACTGTTGCCATGCCCAAGAAAGCTCCCTCCCAAACAACTCTTCCTCCTTTTCCTCCTTCACTTAGTGTTCAAGGTCAAGACCCAGTGATCTGAGGGTTCCTTGATGATGATGTCAGTTGTTGGCATACTTGGCACAGTTATTGCCAGAGACAATTTTATAGGTTATGTACAAACATATTAAGGCAAGTGTTTAAGTGTATATAACTTTTGGTCCTGGATTTTAGTGACTTGTGGGCCGCCTGGAAGACCTATTTTTTAATTTAGAATTAAGCCACGTATTTTGAACAAATTCAAGACAGGCCACCTCTGCATACTTTTCCTGGGAGCTGCAGCCCATTGGGGGCAGAACATAGTGGGTTATTGAGCTGACTCAGTGCCCCCAGCTGCCATGAATGTTGTGATAATGGCTTAAATAAATTGTGTGGCAGCTCACAAAATCTGCTCCCACAGATCAGAAAAGAATGTTGGATCTGTTTGAAAACAATCGAGATGTCGGTGATTTCCGATTGATATATATCTTTTCGTTAACATATTCCAGAGCAACACTAATCAACTTTTTCAGTCTGGCTGTCCTTTTCAGGGATCTGGGACCGTAGCTAGCCACCAACTGCTGATGGCTGGGGACAGAGCAGCCAAGGGGGGAACGGGCTGCTCTTTTGAGGAAAACAGGAGCAAATTTCAGTCCATACCAGAACAAAAGTAAGAGGTGCAAGGACAGCTGGAGGACCACATAGACCACTTCTGCAAAAGGACTCCTTCAGGTTCAACTCACACGAGTTACATTTTAGAGTGCATGGGATAAACTCTGTATGTTTGCAAGTCATCCTGCTGTTTCAGTGATTTTCACGATTATTTCATCTAGAAAATAAGGAACCTGGGACGGCAGGAGCTTCCTGGGACTCTGCTGTTGTCCATCGTCCACATGCTTTTGGTTGCTATGCCCACCCTCAGCCCTTTGATGAAATTTTCAGCTATATTTTTAGACCCTTACACACACACACACACACACACACACACACACACACACACACACATGCACGCACGCACACACAAAACCTTGCCAAACACTAACCACCCTTCCCAGAAATGCAGTGGACTTTGAATTTATAAGAAATCAGTGACAGGTGGATACGGCTTTTGCTGATGCTGCAAACAAAATGCTGGTGGCTGTGAAACATTAATTTTGATTTCAAATTTCTTTCGCTTGGATGTGAGTCATTTTAGCATCTTATAAAGTGAGTGGTCACTATCAAAGGATATCTTAAATTCACTTTTTTCATGAGATATTTTTATTCCGTTTTTAATGTTCTCTCTTGGTGCAGTGTTGGGGGGAGGGGTGTAGGGAAGCTTTGACCAAACTAGAAGAAATAAAACATAGTCCGCGGGTTTTGTTAACAGAACATTTCAGCGGGGCTTCGATGTTGCTGTGAGGGGCTGCTAAGCTCCTTGCCTAGTCAGGTGCATCTGGGACCTGATGCTAGAGAGGGACAAACGTGGCCTGCACCCCTCCTTTGAGGTTCTGTTCTGTGCTTCTGGCTGAGGAGACCTCTGGGGACACTAGAAATCTGACACCGCCCCTGTCCCCCCGGGGAGAGATTTAAGCGCCCTTGTCTGGTGGCCCGGAGGCCAGGGAGGTCAGAGGAACTCCGGGATGGGTCTTGGGCGCTCTGCTCAGAATGGGGGTCTCTGTGCTCTTTTGTGGGTTCCTGGCACTGGGGGAAACCATGACAAAAAGAGAAAGGGAGGGGGATGGAGGGAGGGGGAGGTGAAGGAAAACCCAGAACTTAGAAGGCCTTTCCCTGCGGAGCTCTGGGGGCCCGGCTGCTTGCTCACCCGCGTGGGACCCAGAGAGAGAACACGGCCTCTGTCTGACTTGAAGAGGGACCGTGCGCCTTCCCAGCTGTCGGAAGACGGTCCCTGAGGTCCCCGGAACAACCAGCGTGGAGGCCTGTCGTTGGGAGCTCAGCCCCCGCGGGGCCTCTGACTGTCCGCCCTGCCCATGGGTTTCTGAGAGGGCCCGGACTGAGTTGAAGACAACTCCGTGCACCGGAGGAGGCGGGACCAGGAGGTACTACTTCGGCTGCGTGTCCGGGACAAACAGGACTGGCGCTGAGCGCTGCCATCCACGTGGACACCCGTGGCCGCGTCTCAGCTGACCTGTCCGCGGCGTCTGTCCGGCGCTCTTCTCTCGTCCTTGACACACCTTCGCAGCTTGGCGTCCAGAGCCACGCTCTCGTGAGTCCCCTCTCTGCTCGCTGGCGAGTGCGTCCCGGTCCCCTTCGCCTGGGCCTCCTCACCCGGCCTCCTCCCTGGATTCACCCCAACCGACCTTTCCGAATCCTGTCTACTCGCTGGTGACAGCAAACTGGGAGTCTCCAGCCGTCACTTCTGCCCTGCGCTCCGGACACGGACACTTCTGCCTGCCCCACTCAGGTGTCCCCAGGCCTGTCGCATGGGACGCAGCCACGTGCACACTCCTGTTTCCCCCACCTCTGCTGTGCCGACTTTGCCCTCGCAGTGGGCCGAGCCCCCAAATCTTAACACCTTCCTTTCTCTCACCTCTTCTCAATCCATCAACGAGACCCGACAGCTCCACCTGCCTCGAAAACGTGTTCAGCATCCCACGACTTCTGTCCGCCCCTGAGGCTGCGGTGCGAGCAGCGCCCTTTGCACCCGGCCTGCGTCTTCACGGCTTCCCGGAGGATGTCCTGCTGCTGCCCTCACTGCGCCGCGCCCCCACCGCCTCGCACCGCCCCGTGTCCCATGACAGAGAGCCTCCGGGATACTGTTACATGTGAACCAGACGAAGTCCCTCGTCTGTGAAAATCCCACCTTCCAGAGGCAGCTCGTCGGCCGCCCCGGATGCTAGTTCTTCCTTCCCTGGCCTCCCGCAGCGCCCCCTTCCGGCGCCTTCCACCGTGTCGTTCCCTGCACGGAGCCCCTTCTCTGCCTTCAATGCTGCGCCTGCCGGGCAGGTCCTTAAATGAGGACGCTGTGTCCTCCTCCTCTGTCTTAGAACGCCGTCCTGCCCTTGGTAGGTGCTCATGGCCTGTAGCTATTTAAGAGCCCGACTCTCCTTTGCAAATGGTGCTTCTAGGACTCACTCTGCCTGTCGGTCTTGCTACCTGCTTTCCAGTGGGAAGTGCCCAATCCGAACCAGACAGGAAGGTCAGGAAACATAATGGCGCAGAGTCTGACATTTTTAGTAAAAATGTAAGGTTCATCCTTCAATTTATAGCTCCACTGTGAAGATTTTCAAACCATTAAAAACCATCTGTAATCACCATGAAACACTTTTCAGAATGGGAGGGAGGGGCAGTCCCCTGGCTTTTGGAGCATGTGTGGGAAGTGGCTTTGTCGTCGGGTTGAATTTTCCCTCCCTCGGGAATGGGAGAGGCAATTTATCTGCGAGGTGCCTATGCTGAAATGAGGTACGCTGTGGGGAGCCCTGTACCCATTTCCCTCTCATTAAAATGCACTTGGTACATGGATGGAGGACGCGACTGGGTTGAAACAACGTATTCTTTTAGAATAGCACTAAATTCAATCGTGCATTTAATCAGAAATAGTTAAAATATCTCCCAAAGAGCCTGACTCACCTCTCTTTGAGTACCTGATTGAACGTAGTGGTTTCCGAAGGTCACAGTCAAGTTCAAGAAACAAAATTAAGAATAGAAAAAGAACTAATAAAGACTACTTTAAAATCATAGCAACGTTGAACAATGTCCATTGTTCTGAGTTGAAGAAAAGAGGGAGAATACAGACCACTAAGCATTCAGATGTCAGTGTGCACTTCTCACGAAATGCACGCACGCACGCACAGCCGTGCTCCCTGGATGTGTAGTCACTCACGGCTTTTGCACTCAGGCATCTTCTGTGTTATCTGCATTTTCCAAACAACTCTATTGCTCTAAGCCAGAATTTTAGTACAAATAATTCATACAAAAGGTGCATTTCTTTTTTAATGAATTCTATCTTTTAAGGCATAAAGGAAATTTTAGCTGTAGGTGGAGAATAGAAGGCTTACCTATTGGGAAGACTAGAAATAAAGAGTGCATAAAATATATGCTGTGATGGAATCTTCCAGATTAAGTCTTCCCAGGAAACTCCAAAGTTATATTTGCAATCTCCACTTAAACAGACCAGCATAATCTACCTTTCAGATACTCTGTCTTGATATATTCTGGGTACAAAGCACCTTCGAAGAAACACTTTACCTCTTCCCCCATCTCCCAAGGATAAACTCTTATTTATC